CTTCCCTGCCTCCAAGACGGCTCTATTAGCCATCTGCCAAGGCCCAAAATGGTGCCAGGCAGTGGGTGTGAGCAGTGGCATGGCAGTGGTGGCGGCAGGGGCAGTGGGAGGACCTGCCATGGACCGGTAAGAAGGACTTGACGGGCCAGGTCTGGCCTGTGGGCCATAGTTTGGGGACCCCTGGTATAGAAGGACTAAACAGATAGTTATATAAACCACTTGCACCTTAACATGGTCTCTAGTCAGGCCCAGCTTAGAAAAGCCTCAGATCAAAATACATTACCCATTTTAATCCAGAAATCAATATTGGAGTATTATGATTTAACAAATGAAGGAAAGGAATCAGAAGGAAATGAGCAGTGGCTGGATCCAGAGGTCACAGAATTGCCTCCAGAATCATAGAGTTGGAAGAGACCTCAAGGCCCATTAAGTCCAACACCCTGGGGAGATGCAGACAGGAGGCCCTGGGCCACCCCGAGAAGCGGAGGACTGAGACCAAGTCTGTCAGACATCTCTTTTTGCCAGCCTGGAAAAGAACAGCAAAATGGGTTGGGGTGCCCAGCGTGTGGCTGCCCCTCCCCATCCATGCCTCCAGCCTGGCCATTTGGGCCGGTCTGTAGAGGCCCCTTGTCTTGCAGGATTACAGAATCAAAACACTCTCAACTGATGGCTATCCAACCTCTATTTAAAAACCTGTAAAAAATATTTTACCACTCTCCAGGGGAGTGTATCCCACTGTCAAATAGCTCTTACGGTCAAGAAATTCTTCCAAATGTTTATGTGGAATCTTTTTCCCTGCAGTTTGAATCTATTGCTCCAGGTTCTATTTTCTGGGGCTGCAGGGGGAAAAAAAACTTGCTCCATCTTCAGTATGACATCCTTTCAAATATTTAAAGAGGGCTATCATATCCCCTCTTAACTATTTCTTCTCCAGGCTAAACATACCCAGTTGTCTAAGTCATTCCTCATAGGGTGTGTTTTCCAGACCCTTCACCATTGAAGGGGCTCTTCAGATGGCGCAAAGTGCCATATTGGAGACAGGGAGGGGGAGGGACAGTGGGACACCGAACGCCCCAACCCCTTCCTGAGGACGTCATCAGAGCGCCCGCCATTGCACATGGCAACCACTCTGATGACGTCCTCCTGGCCCGGCCTCTGCACAGGCTGAGTTTGAAGAGATGCAGAAGAGCCATGTGACGGCTCTTCCAGCACCCTTTCTGGGGCTTGGGAAAGGAGCACTATTTTAGCGCTCCTTTCCCAGTCACCAAAAAGGTGGATTGGGGCCGAGGCATGGGGTAGCCTCAGCCCCAATCCTCGACTTCTCAGGGCGGCCCATGGCCGCCCGTCTATAGAGACCCTTAGTCGCCCTCTTCTGGACACACTCCAGCTTGTCAACATCCTTTTTGAATTGTGGTGCCCAGAACTGGATGCAATATTTCAGGTGAGCAGAATAAGGTGGTGTTATTACTTTTCTCAACCTAGAATTACTTCCCTCAATCTAGATTAGGAGGAAGAGACAGAAAAAGGCACTTCACCCTGTCATGTGTCATAAATAAAAGCTCTGGTAGGAAAGGTAGGCTTAATTTTGAACATTAAGAAAGAAAAAAAAATGACTAAGGAAAATCTACATGGATTTACCCTATATGACGAGAAAATTGAAAATTGAATTCTTATACCTTGGATCAAACATTGATCAGAATAGAGACTACAGACAAGAAATCAGAGGAAGACTAGGATTGGGAAGATCAACTATTGAAAGTAGTAGACAAGACTCTAGTATCCAATGCTATAATGCTAGATAGTAATGTTAGGATCATCCAAGCCATTCCATTTCCCATCACAATGTATGGATATGAGAGTTAGGCCCTATACAGACCAGCCACAAGAGCCAGCCTGGGGGTGGAGCGGCGGGCATGGTGGCCGCATGTCAGCCACCCCAACCCCGCCCCATGTCCTCCTCACACTGCCTATGCAAAGACATGGTGGGTAGCATCAGGGCTCTCACTTGGCACAGCGTTCATACACACTATGCCAAAGGAGCACTGAAAAGCTGCTGCTCCCATGACTTTTTACCTCTCTAAGAAGGAGCAGCATTTGCCAGCTCTTTTTAGAGCAGCAAAATGCTGGATCAGGGCCACAGCATGCAGTTGCTGTGGCCCCAATCCAGCAAGGAAAGGGGTGGTAGGACGCCGTCCTTTAGGGGCCTTCTGCTTAGCCCCTTAATGAACTCCATTGGTGGTATTTTACTGGATCAGTTTCAACCTGTAAGTACCAATGACATGGACAAGCTCCTTGGAAGTGTGAGGAAGACGACCTGTCCTCTCAATCCTTGTCCTTGGCTGGTCGTCCAGGGTGGGGGCGCGTTGAGGGTGTTCCTACGG